TTCTGCACTGTATTGAAAAATATCCGTTATTTATACATTGGATGAATCAACTTGCCAGGAAAAACAGCCTTACTCTTAGCATGTGTGCGATCATAAGAGAAGTAAATATCTGCCAGACATTTGTTTGCTTTTGGGGTGAGCTTGAGAGCAGCCAGCAGATAGTCGCTGGTCGTGTCCTCAGGTTCCTCAACAGTGGGCAGATAGTCGCTGGTCGTGTCCTCAGGTTCCTCAACAGTGGGCAGATAGTCGCTGGTCGTGTCCTCAGGTTCCTCACAGTGGGCAGATAATCGCTGGTCGTGTCCTCAGGTTCCTCAACGGTGGGCAGATAATCGCTGGTCGTGTCCTCAGGTTCCTCAACAGTGGGCAGATAGTCGCTGGTCGTGTCCTCAGGTTCCTCAACAGTGGGCAGATAGTCGCTGGTCTTATCCTCAGGTTCCTCAACAGTGGGCAGATAATCGCTGGTCTTATCCTCAGGTTTCTCAACAGTGGGCAGATAATCGCTGGTCTTATCCTCAGGTTTCTCAACAGTGGGCAGATAGTCGCTGGTCTTATCCTCAGGTTCCTCAACAGTGGGCAGATAATCGCTGGTCGTGTCCTCAGGTTCCTCAACAGTGGGCAGATAGTCGCTGGTCGTGTCCTCAGGTTCCTCAACAGTGGGCAGAGATTCACACTGTAACGATAATGGTTTTTTTATGTTATCACAATCTACATTGCTGAACATTAGGTATTCCCATGAATGCTATCTCTGATATAACAGCCAACCCAAGGTGCCTCTGCAGAATAATCCCTTAAAATGTCTTGAATTCTAAGAGGACCTGACATGCTTCACCACAATTCACTCTAAGGTTATGTGAATTGTTCTAGCGTCAGAGATTTGTCATTAGCGGCCACAGCCACCAGAACAGTATGGTCACTGTGAAGAAGACGAAAGGATGCAGTAGCAAACTATCTTTTTTAAAAATGCAAAGAGACACACACACCACATTATTGTAAGAAAACCAGACAGTAAGCAGATACTTTGACAAAATATCTGACAGCAGCAGAAGTGAGGTTTCTTGACAAACGGGGGGAAAATATGGGCTTGTTTGAACAAAACAAAAATGTAACAGTTCTCCTCAAGACAGATGATATCTCTAAACATATAGGAGGTTAGATGCACTGTGGGTATTTTTCTGTGTGGGTGACCTCTTCTTCACCTTTGTGTTCACCGGCTGTAAACTCCAGCAGAAAATTCTGGTTGTTCATCCACTTCTGGACTTGAGCCTTGTTCTAGAACTTGAATTTTGCATGCACATCCGTTTTACAGATGTGGCTTATTTGTGTGCGGACTGTTGGTTCCTTCTCTCTCAGGCAGATGACCTCTGACTTTGTAAGAAATCCCTGATTAGTGTACACTTCCGGCATGCTTGTTGGGGCGGCAGTGGCTCTGCTATCCTTTTTTTAAACTGGAAATGACAAGTGAGATTGCTGGTTACTTCAGACAAAAGTTTGTTGCAAAACAAACATGTCTGTCTGTGTGGATTGGTTAGATAAACTCTTTGCAAAGATTATGCTTTACATACCAACCTGATTGCTGTCAGTAATGACACTGCATGTTTTGACAGAAGTAACCAAGCACAGTACAAATTATGGCTAATCTACGGTGGTAAATCTTTTTACATATGTCACCATCATGTGCCCTGCCATCGTAGGCGCTCATGCATCTCCACAGATGGCAATCCTTGGTTGCCTGGAACAGCTCCTTGATGCTATCCCTCCATGCCATTGTTTCAGCCCATCAAGCATTATCTCTCTTGGTCTGCCGCTACCCCTTTTTTCACATACTTTTACGCATGTAGCAGATACATAATAATGGCATTGATGTCAGTCCAGGAATAAACTTGTTGACCAGTTCACCAATGGCTTCAGTCTGGTTAGCCAGTTCACCTCCTCTCCCCTCCTCCATTACTAGACGTCAAGGACACGATCACCTTGCCTATCTTAACTACTAATCATCATCATGGAGCAGGTCCTTTGTAAAACGTCACTCTCATCACAGTCTGCCTGAAAGAAACTCGCCAGCTCTCCCGCCTCATGCACTTTCATACTCAAGGAATCACTTATATCCTGTGCCCATCTTCGTGTTGGTTAGCCCCTGCCCCTCCTTCCTGGTACCATGCCTTCTGCGATAATTTTTTCGGGCTTAAGGCCATCATCACAACTACTCTTACTTGCTCTGCCATCGTTCTCTTCCCCAGTTCGTGTCTGTGATCTGCCTGGCCTGGGGGCCTCACCATTAGATCTTTGAGTTTCATTTTTGGCTTCCATAATGAGTTTCTTGGGATAGTAATGGGGTAGTTTCCCGTTGTTTTCCACATCCACATGCCTTGAGACTACGTCCTCAGCCGTCAGCAACCTTTTGGATTGCTAGGGCAAGTGAGTGCCTTGCATCTTAACTACTACCTCCTGGTATAAACCTGTGGATTCTCACTCAGCTATTTTCTACATTTTCTCATCAATTTTCCTTTTAAAAAAAATAATACCATCCTCCAAATTTGTGTGTATGTTGTGCTCTGATTTCTTAAACCATGAACAAATGGTTTCTCAGTTTCTTTTATGTCCACTTTAATCCTGAACAAATCCTCCAAGAGACTTACAAAGTATGAATTATCAAGTGGAAAGTGAGACATGCACAATCAAATCTGATCCCACTCTTAAAAATATAAACTGATCCTGACCTTTCATCCCAACAGTGTGGTGGCTTCCAAAATCTTACACCATCATTACCTTAGCATTTTCCTGTTAGGATCCGGATACCTGAAGTATCAACAGTTGAAAGCCTTAGAGTTGCCTACAGGGTTAGTTCAATAGGTTTTAATGACAGTTTTTTTTTCAAAATTTTTGGTCAAATATCAGTTCCCTGCAGCTAAAAATCTGTTAGCAACGAAAGTTTAATGGCATATAGTCAATTTAGGGATTTATGAATTGTTGCTTATAAAAATATAATTGAACTGATAGCAAGACGGCGTGTGTGTGTTCATCCTTCTTATTATTACTTAACATATTGTTATTTCTTATATTATTCTTCATTTTCTGTGTGTAAAGTAAATGTTGCTAAGGCTGATTTGTAACAAAAAATGTTAAATGTTTTATTTTCATGGTGTCTTATTTACATCATCTTTTCTATAGAAAGAGGCTGTAAGATGGAAGGAGGAGAGAGAGATCAAAAAAAGCAAATTTGTCTTTTTGTTTGTTCACTGTCTTATATATCCAGGGATGAGGAGGGGTACTGTGTATTTGTTTTTAAGTGATGGTGGGGCCCATTTTCTTTTCTTTTTTAGGGCAATTGATTGTGAAGCAAAACACAAGCCTTCATTTACAATGGATTCGAGTGTCCTATAGTCTCTGTATAATTCCTAAGATTTAATGAGTTAAATTAATAACTTGATGAAGTTGATGTGGGAGAGATAAATTTATCTTATGTGGGGCAAGTACTATCCAAAAGAGGCAGAGGAAATGTGTTGGAAGCTTTGAAGTTCACACCCCCCTAAACCTAAGCAGCAAATAATATAAGCCACACTAACTTCATCAAAACAGCAAATGACACACAGGATTTGTGAACTTTCTTTACTGAACATGTTAAATCCATGACAGTATCTTTATACATAACGTATCAGGATTGTATTCTATATTAATCAACATTGATTCAATTAAATTCACCAACAATTAATATCACATTTTTCAATCTTCAGAAAATACTTGCCTCCTTTTGTTAATAACTACACTATAGAAATTACCAAAACCAACAAAATTAAAGTCTTAAACTGCACAGTTCATGCAGAGACAGTTAAACAGCTCTGCATCCTCAGACTCAAGACCTCTGGTCATATAATGCTCTTAAAAATAAAGATCTTTTGTTTTAAATCAAAATTCTGCTACTTTCTGAGGGAAACTATCTCAGGAAAAAAATATCATACAAGTGTGGCATACATCAAGGAAGCTGTGGGGGATAATTCTGTCCTCACTAGTGTGGTTTATATTGAACATCTCGTACTTTTGGGAAAACAAATTTTGAACAGATAAAACATTGCAGATATTATCATGAAGACCAAAATGGATCCCCTCTTTGTCAGCAAGTTCCACAGTCGATCTGCTCTCTGTTAACCATCCCCACAGTCATTCCTGTCTTTGTTACTTCAATCCATCGTATGTGCCTGTGTGCCAAATTCTTCCCTTTGAAAATAAAGTTTGTTCATTTTTACAAGCAATTTTACATTTATCTATCACATGCTCCTGTGTTCTCAGTTCTTAATCCTTTGAAAATAAAGTTTTTTTCATTTTTTAGAAGCAAAATAGATATTTTGATTGATAACTGATATTACTGCAGTCTGGACATCTCTACATGTGGTCATCACATTCTTAACTAGCCAACAAGCAGTTCCCATAGTGACAGTAAAGTAAAGGACCCTTTTCCACACCTTTCAGGCGTTTTAGGTATATAGGGCTAGACCTATATTTTATAGTCCAACGGCACAAGATCGGGTGATGTCCTCAGCATCACACCGGCCGCCTTTACTTCCCAGGACTGCCCCTGGTACCCACTCAAGGCTGGGTCGACCTGGAGGCCAAGATCATTTTTGAAAAAAAGTCTGCCTCCCATATTGATAGGACAGGTGACAAATTGATTACATCTTTCTCCTTGCATGCTGTTTCCACCAGTCCTCAATTCCAGGGTCTCTCATTCGGTGGTGTGCGGAACAAACTCAAGGAATCTGATATCATTTACAAAACAAAAACTCATCTTTATTCTCTACAGCTTTACTACAGTTCTTGAGACTAGACCCTCACCTGATCCAAAGGATCTTCTGCATACAGGAACTTCATACTGCAGTTCAACCCATCATTTAATTTATACCTGAAGAGGTGCAGTGACATATCGTTTGTCATCACTATTTAAAATAAAAGCTAACAGTTTCACATTTAAAAAAAAAAAAACTGTGACCTGCCTTCTCTAAAGCTAACTACAATTCTTTCACAACTGGTACTGCAAGCCTTTCTTTTTCCTCAGTCAGAGCTCTGGCTGCATGCAGGTAGACAGAAAACACCACACCCTATAGAAGATACAGAACACATAACATTTAACTCATGGTGTCTTACATTAACATATTTTTTATTCTCATATGACAGATGAAGTTTGATGTTACAACTCTAGCAGTTTCAGTTGGCAATTTTTGTGGGACTTGCAAAATCTGAACAACTTGAGAATGATTCTTGTGGAATTTCAAGAATTGGAATAGGTGCATTTTTATGGGACTTCAAGAATTGTAATAGTACGGGACTCACACTTGTAGAACTTTAAGGACTGGAACAGCTTGAGACTTGATTCTAGTGGCACTTCAAGAACAGGGATAACAAGAACTTCCCAGCAACTAAAGACACAGAGATCAGTGGTGACTTGGTCCCATCCCAGTAGACAACACACTGATACAACACACTGATACAACACACTGATGCAACACACTGATACAACACACTGATACAACACACTGATGCTAACATGCCTGCAGGCTCTACAAAAAGTGAGTGCTGACATGGGCACTGACTGTCCATCATCATTGTGAGGAAATCCTCTGACTCTTGCAGTCTTTCAGCATGCACAGTTTATAGTCCTCTGACTCTTGCAGTCTTTCAGCATGCAAAGTTTATAGTCCTCTGACTCTTGCAGTCTTTCAGCATGCACAGTTTATAGTCCTCTGACTCTTGCATTTTTTCAGCATGCACAGTTTATAGTCCTCTGACTCTTGCAGTCTTTCAGCATGCACAGTTTATAGTCCTCTGACTCTTGCAGTCTTTCAGCATGCACAGTTTATAGTCCTCTGACTCTTGCAGTCTTTCAGCATGCACAGTTTATAGTCCTCTGACTCTTGCAGTCTTTCAGCATGCACAGTTTATAGTCCTCTGACTCTTGCAGTCTTTCAGCATGCACAGTTTATAGTCCTCTGACTCTTGCAGTCTTTCAGCATGCACAGTTTATAGTCCTCTGACTCTTGCAGTCTTTCAGCATGCACAGTTTATAGTCCTCTGACTCTTGCAGTCTTTCAGCATGCACAGTTTATAGTCCTCTGACTCTTGCAGTCTTTCAGCATGCACAGTTTATAGTCCTCTGACTCTTGCAGTCTTTCAGCATGCACAGTTTATAGTCCTCTGACTCTGCAGTCTTTCAGCATGCACAGTTTTATAGTCCTCTGACTCTTGCAGTCTTTCAGCATGCACAGTTTATAGTCCTCTGACTCTTGCAGTCTTTCAGCATGCACAGTTTATAGTCCTCTGACTCTTGCAGTCTTTCAGCATGCACAGTTTATAGTCCTCTGACTCTTGCAGTCTTTCAGCATGCACAGTTTATAGTCCTCTGACTCTTGCAGTCTTTCAGCATGCAAAGTTTATAGTCCTCTGACTCTTGCAGTCTTTCAGCATGCACAGTTTATAGTCCCCTAACTCTTGCAGTCTTTCAGCATGCACAGTTTATAGTCCTCTGACTCTTGCAGTCTTTCAGCATGCACAGTTTATAGTCCTCTGACTCTTGCAGTCTTTCAGCATGCACAGTTTATAGTTATCTGACTCTTGCAGTCTTTCAGCATGCACAGTTTATAGTCCTCTGACTTGCAATCTTTCAGCATGCACAGTTTTTAGTCCTCTGACTCTTGCGGTCTTTTCAGCATGCAAAGTTTTTAGTCCTCTGACTCTTGCAGTCTTTCAGCATGCAAAGTTTTTAGTCCTCTGACTCTTGTAGTCTTTCAGCATGCAAAGTTTTTAGTCCTCTGACTCTTGCAGTCTTTCAGCATGCACAGTTTATAGTCCTCTGCAGGTTCTCTCATACTGAAGACCATAACTGATCCTCTTTTTGTCAGCAAGTTCTATAGTCAATCTGCTCTCTGTTAACCAGCCCCCACAGTCAATCCTTACATGGAGGAGATAGAGAAAAGAACTGCAAACTTAGCATATTTGTGGACATATATGATTTGTTCCTCTTATACGGCAGGTGATGGATAATATCCTCTTACTGTATTCTATATGCAAGTAAATATTATGGAAGATAGAAAAACAAACAAAGCAACGCTGGAGACAGGTAAAAACTGTAAACCCTTGACAGGAAATAAACTGTTTTGTGTGTGTGTGTGTGTGTGTGTGTAGATATGTTATAAGCAGGAGTGGACTCTATTCTGCTGATTGTGCGACCGCCTATGTTTTGTTATTGTTGGGTGTTTGGCAGGACACATGGTGATGATGATGCTACGTTACTAACTAAAAATCAGCTAGTTTGATAAATATTCAACGTTCAATAAATACATTGAATGTCAGTTAGGAAGAAAAAAAACTCCTAGCTACTTTCTCTCTCAGCAGATGGTTGACTTTTGATTATCATCATTAAATATCATCAAATAGATTATATTTGCTATTATCACCTACCAGCAAATAGATGACATGTGCTACTTTCATCTACTAGCAAAACAGACGACATGTGCTACTTTCATCTGCCATCAAATAGGTGACGTGCTATTTTCATCTACCAGCAAATAGATGACATGTGCTACTTTCATCACCAGCAACCACGTGACCTACAGCTACTTCCACCTATCACTAGGATGACCATATCCTGTTGACAGTATCCTGTTTAGGGTGTATACAAAATTTTTTTTATAATCCATTGACCCAGTTAACGCTGAGTATCAATGGGTCTGCCTTAAAAAAAAAACGATACTGTCCTGGGGAAAACGTGACTTATGGTGGCCTTAGCTTTCACTTGTTAGTTTAATTTTAGCTACTATTATTTCTCAGTAAATGCTTGACTGTTGCCTGCTTTCATAAACAAGTAAATGTAAGATTTGTGACTGCTTTTGAGTAAAGTAAAGTTGTGAAATTTGGCTTGTGTCAAAACAAACCTGACTTCTTGCTGCTCTCACAAATCCCATGTTGGAAGTCACTGTGACAGCTTGTAGGCAGTCGCCAGTACCAAATATCACCTGATGAATAGATATTATCAAACTCTGTACCAGACGCACAAAATAACATATCCACAAAATTGTACAAATTAAATAACATCAGCAAGAAAATAAATACAATATAAATCCTACATTGGAGAAGCTTCAACATTCCTGAAGGATGGAAAACTACTGGTCCCTAGTCAGAAACTATTTTTAAAAAAAACATAATAAACAGATCGCCTGATTTAGATCACAGATTATTTAGCACAGGATAGGGGAAAATAGAATGCACCCAGGAGATTAATGTAGCTAAAGCTGCCGGATTGAGATCATTCTAAGGGAAAAGTGGTACTGTTAGTTCTTAGGAAAATATAATGTAGGGAGATTTTTAAGGGATGAACGAGCAGATTCTGCACTCGTTGTTAGCGCACTGAAAAGATTCGTAAGTTTCTATTCTGATTTTGAACGCACACACACAAATCGTCATCGTAACCAGCATCCCTCAATGGGGAGCTTTCGGTTATAACTGTGACTAGGTCTATGTGCGCCATTTAAAATTCTTAAGCATTGCTCGCCACCAAGAAGTCCTGAGAAGGACTCTTGTAGTGTTGATGCGATCGTAGGAGACAGACCCAAATACTGTTCCGACCGACGACGAAGCCGTCTACTGGCGACCCAATGGGCGACCCGGTTGCGATGCCACTTTCTATCTATCGGAATATGGATTATTATTAGCCGATAGGGAATCTCTGTGTGAATGAATGAGACACTAAAAAATTTGACACATTATTATGTGATGATAAGGACCGGTGACGTGGTGCGGATACTCCCGTCAAAAGGCTACGCTAGAACCCAACAAGGCGGCAACGATGATGGATGATTGAATGGTTTCCCGACCCCTTCCCTACCTCTTTCAGGTGCACTATGAGTACGATTCCCCCACCCCCCTCCACTTACCCATCAGGTCTTCGCCAAAGCATTTGAGTTCGGCACCCCATAATCCACAAAAATCCTCACTGCTGAGGCGGACTAAACCAGAGACGGCGCAAATACCAAAACTTTATCCATGAAACTGGCGCAAATAAACCAGACCACAAATATAACTGGAGGCTGTCAGCATCTTCGGCTGGCTGGCAGCAGGTTGAATGTGTTTTGGGTTTTAAGTTGTTTCTTTAAACGATGGACGGACGGACACATTATTAATAAAGTTGTGACATTCATAATTGGGGAGAAAAAAAAGGGGGGGGGGGGGTCACAAGTACATTTCAAGCGAAAAAGGGGAAAAGGGGTGGGGGGGGGGGGGGTTTAGAACAGTTAACTTTAATGTCAAATCAGTTGGATACAAAATGCAGAGAATGATTGAAACTAAAACAAATTACCAATAAACTACAAAGGTTCAACAACTGACGCCTACACGGAATATAGTTATTTATAAGTCTATGACTTAATCTCAGACTGGCATGAAACTGAACTCTAACAAGACATAGCTCTTACTTTAGATTTCAGACTGGCATTAGTTTAATTCTAGCCGGACAATTGTTACCTTGGATCTTTCTTTGACACGCCCTTGGCAGTCCAGGGCTAAAGCTCGCTGAGACGGTTGATCCTGAACCACACGGACACGTTCCAACAGCTCTGCCGCACGTCTTTTCTCTGCCTGTCCACCCAAAATGTCTAGGATAGACTGGAAACTGGACACGGCTGTCTCACAGACGAACACTTCTTTGCCTATATGGGGATTAAATACAAAATAAATACTGTTATACTTTCTAATCCACAGATGGAGTTTGAGCAACAGGATGTAGCCTGCTTACAATACTCAGCAATCACAGACAAAGAACTAACCTTTTTCTCAAAGTCCATGCCGTGTAGTGGTGGTAGTCATCCACAACCTTCTGTGTCGTGTACTTTCAATCAACTCTGACACAGATATCCTCCATACCATGATGCCAAACTGTCCAGCATCTTTTCTCTCCGTCTGCCTCTGCCTCTCCCCTCCAACTTTCCTACTGTCACCATGTACTCCAGTTGTCTCCTTCTCATCACATGACCAAAGAATGTAGATTGTCTCTTTCTGATGTGGGCATTCAGTTCTTCGTGAGTCAGTTTCTTTCAAGACATCCTCCATTTCTCGTTTTATCTGTCCAGAGTGTTCTCACAATTTGTCTATAAAACAAAATTTTCGTAGCATCTAAATAATCTTTCACTAATCTACCAACTGCCATGGTTAACTTCGGTATATAAAGACTGGATTTATTTGGCGTTTAAAACACCAAGAATGAAGAAGGAAGACATGCACCAGTGACAACAGGACGAGCGGTTTGATTCGGATGGAAACATTAAGCCAGAAATGGCACAAACACCAGTATTCAGTCACGAAAGTGACGCAAATAACCCAGACCACAAATATAGGCGGAGACTGTTAGCAGCCTAGGCTAGCTAGCAGCAGTCTGAACGTGGTCGAGCTTTTATTTTTTTTCTCAAAAGTACTTGGACTTGGCGTTTAAGCATTCTCTGCCTCTTCGTAACTGACAAAGACAGACTGCATAAAATATTCGCACGTTCAGCTGTGAATTATGAACTTATTACATATTCTAAGTCGGCATCTGTGGCTTAGACGTTGCTAACGCCATTGATAATGCTGAGATACCCAGTTCGATTACAGTTGCAGGCAGTTGGACAACAGACCGCTTTGCATTGTCACGATAATGGCGTCGAGTGACACACAGCCAAAACATGGTGGGTTTTATTCTGCGGCGTCTCTAAGTCTAATGGATACGCAACTAAACTGTTCTTCTTTTTTCAAACTAGTAGCATTTAACAGGTGCACCTCTGAAATGAAAGGACCCTACCTTTAATGAACACCTATATCATCCTCATCAGGTGCCTTGCCGACTGGTGTGGGCGATCATGCCTCTCCACAATCTGTGATCTTCTGCAGCATGTATCAGTTCGTGTGCTGACACACCTCCATGCCATGCAACAAGACTGTCAAGAATCTTCTCTTGTTGTCTTCCTCTATCTCTCCTTCCACAGATCTTTCCAGTGGTCACCACATGTTCCATTTTCCCTCTTCGGTTAACATGGCCGTAAACTTATGACTGTCTCCTTCTGATGTCTGTGATAAGTTGTCTTCGGGCTCCCTATATACCTATATATCGTCCCATAAAACGAGACAGCAACAGGACATGACCCACAATTTTTAAAGACGAAGAAGAGAAGAAATATTGACATTTTAAAAGATCTGAACATCAAGGAAGATTGGCGCATAAACAGCATCGTGTTAAGGAAACTGAAATATTTTGGTCATATCAAGCGCCATAGCTGATTGGGAAAATAACAACAGAGAGCATGGTAGCAGGAAGGAGGTGGCAGGGGCCGACCATCAAGAAGATGGGCACACAGTATAAGTGACTTCTTGAATATGAAAGTAAATGATGCGGAAAAGCTGGCGAGAGACTGAGTTTTTTTCAGGCAGACCGTGATGAGGGCAACGTTCTGCAAAGGACCTACTTCATGATTATGATACTGTTTAAAGACACCCCATGACCGCCAACAAATGAACGTAAAAAACACATTTCGCGGATCGAATTTCATAGACAGGAAACGTTTACGATTCTCTCCCTTTATTTAAAACGGGACGTAGATAAGCCACAGACAAAAATATTTTCTACCTTTGTTCATCTCCCGCTCTTTTAATTCTCGCCATCTCACTTTCTTCTGTGCGTGTGTGCGCGCGCGCCTCTCTGTCTCATTTCTTCCTCTCTATCGTATTCGCGCGATCTGCTTCGATATGTGCTGTGTGACCGTTTGTATATGTGACTGCGTGTCTCAACACCCCTTCTCCCCCAAATCTCACCATACTAAAAAAAAAAAAAAAAATTTTCCCCCCAGCCCTCCATTTGCCATCGTCTGTTTAATTTACATAATGAAAACCCGAACACATTTTCTTGTATTGCCGATCAATCATTCTTTTAAATATCTCATTTTTAATCAAGTTTCTGCGAACATTCTCCTATTCCCCTACTTGGGGTTCCGTCGTTAGGGCAGTGGGTTGTATCTCGTTTTACATAACACAGATATAACTTGCTGATCTCAACAGATTTATCTAGATTTATTTCCTTCGATAAGCACATATGTCGCCAGCTTTTGTCAATGAATCTTTCTATTATTTATGATGATCACCTCCTCTGAACTTAGATATCACAGAATTATCTCTAGGAATATGCTCTTTGTTTTCTGCTTATCACTTTTTGTGATCACGGATATGATCAGAGATACTCTCACCGCCAGAATCGTTCTTTTGGCTTTTATTATTTCTCGAAGGTACATACCACCTGCCTTTCTAAAAAAAAAAAAATAGGTCCCTTATTTCCGTGTTTATCACTTTCTCTGACAATATTTCAACCAACTCTACTGAATTTTTACTTTCTCAGCGTTAACCGGCTGTAGACGCCTGCGGAAAGTTCTGGTTGCTCGTCCACTCCTGGACTTTGGTCTTGACCTAAAACTTGAGTTTTGCGTATAAATCGTTTTATATGTCCTGGCTTATTTGTATGTAGACTGTTAGTTCCCCCTAACTCGGACAGGTTCGACAATACCAAGTAATGCATTTAAAGTCTGCGCCAAAGAGGCCAAGGGAAGCATCTGGAAACGTTTTGTGACAGACGTAGAAAGGGAGAAAACTCTACATAAATTCTGGAATTTGCACCGACAAATGCATTTTTTTTTTTAAAGTACCAGTCGTCAAATGCCAGATATTCAGGATTCAGGAGGTAAAATATTAACACTTGACACGGAGAAGGGAAAGCTTTTTTTTAGGCGGTGTTGAATCTAAACGAATTAAGACGATGAGTCAGATCGGAAAAACACTCTAGAGAATCTCAGGCATAGCACTGTCACAGACAATGATTATGAAGACTTAGTCGCTGAAATCGACACACAAGGGACATTGGGAGGCAGCAGAAATAATGATCGGGTGCCAAACGTTGTAAGCTATGGCCATAGCAAACAGTCAGGTGGTGATAAAGTACCACGAGTAGTGAGGGTCTTTAATGATAGTGCCCAGACGCCAAATGTACCAGATGACTGGTTACACAGATATCTTAAACCGTTTGCCAAACCAGGCCTGGATCCCTCGCAGCTCAGCAGTTACAGAATCATAACTCTGCAAAATGTGTATGGCAAACTGCTGGGGGGAAAAAACTATGGCGAAGAAAGTGATGTTACACATAGAAAGAATGTGAATGCTACCGGACACCATGGGCAGCTAAAGGCCATCAAAGGCAACATGGGATAATGGTGGAACTTTCGCATATGATGTGTATGAAGGATTTTAGCGAAAGCAAGAAACAGTCGCTGTCGTGATGGATCTTGTAGATGCAGATAACAGCGTTGACTTCACATAACTTTTGCAGTGTGTGATGGACTGGTGTGAACCATTGGTTAGCTAACTGGATGGGATAGCTCTGTTGGAAAGAACAGTGGTATTCTGTTTGGGAACATTGAGATCAGATCCAATACGTATTTGCCCTGGCCTTCCTCGTGGATCACTACTGTCTTGTTTAACATATATACAGCAAGTCTGGCAAAAATTCAGCCCGCTAGACCAGGGCGAGTTTTTACATTTGCAGATGATGTCCTAGTGTATCGAAGCGGGTCAGACAGGCACGACATGACCAGAGACTTGCAAAGTGCTTTGTATGAGACGACAGAGTGTCAGTAATACACATATTCTGACACACGTAAAAATCTTATCAAGATCGTTAAAAACAAGATAATTTAACAATACGGAAACAGTGTTAAAGCCCCCCCCCCCCTCCCCCCAATGTTAATTACTGCCTTTGTTATACCACAATTGTGGTGTAGGCGGGGGGGGGGGGGGGGTTGAGCCTGAAGATTTACGGTCGCATGGCTAGTGTTGTCGCCACGACTGTGCAGATGGGGATTTTATTTTGCCCCCGACAGAAAAAAAATCTCCAACCTTACCAAGGATTCGCTCCCCTAGAGGCAGATAACGACACGATTTCTTATAACTTTTTGTCATGCTACAGACAGCTCTAGAATATACTACTAATACACGCTGTCGGAGATTACAGAATTTGGAAACGCATAATGGACCAGCTGGCAAGTCTCCTCATGGCAATGAGATCAAAATAATGGAATGACCAGGTAGTTTTCTCGTGTGGGTTCCGGGACCCTGTTATAGGAAAAACAAGAGTAGACCCACTGCTTAACCAAAAGCATGTCGTAAGAGTCGACTAACTGGGAGCTTCCTTCGAAGTCGAAGTGCATCTGCCTGAGAGGTGAAGAACCAACAGTCTGCATACAAATTTGTCCGATCTGTCAAACGGATGCACACGCAACATTCAAGTTCTGAAACGGGACAGGACTGCAGTCCAGAAGTGGATAAACAACTAGAACTTTTCGCTAAAGTTTACAGCTGGTGAACGAGAAGAAGAAGAAGAAGAAGAAGAAGAAGAAGAAGAAGAAGAAGAAGAAGAAGAAGAAGAAGAAGAAGAAGAAGAAGAAGAAGAAGAAGAAGAAGAAGAAGAAGAAGAAGAAGAAGAAGAAGAAAAAGAAAGAGAAGAAGAAGAAGATTACCAGGTAGTGTTCCGGAAACTACAGTAATACAGTATATCTTCCTCTATTGTTTAAGTTCCGTAAACATACTTTTATTCCGGTCTTTTTGTCGATAATATGTGTGGTTTTTAAACCGGCGTCTACGC